GAAGGAAGGAAGGAAGGAAGGAAGGAAGGAAGGAAGGAAGGAAGGAAGGAAGGAAGGAAGGAAGGATTTCCTACATTTTCAGATTATTTTGATGCACAGACTGAGGAGATCATCCCTAGTAACACAGATTTTGCTGAATGTTTTGCATTTTAGACTCTACACAGATAAAAAGCCACCAAACATGTTCTTCCACTATGGATTCAACACCAGGAGTGTCTTCCTCAGGGTTGCTGGCACTGATGTTTGTATGCAGCAAATTACAAAATTTACATCCCAGGAGGGAACAGTGCGAGTTCCCCTGTGGGAGAGTGACCTGAGCTCTGGAATGAGGCAGTTTCAGGAATGAGATGCTGCTCAGGGAGGGGAGCTGGGACCAACAAACACAAGGACTTGGAGCAAAGCAGATCTTTTTACACTGCCACAACCACGCCAATCCATACAAACTCAAACAACAATAAATTACAGAGTTTCCACTACCTGGGGGAAATTATAACTACAACTACTGTACAGTCAAGGATTTTATTGCCTAATATTTTAACAGGGTATCCTGGAGAGCACATATTAAATGCAGCCTCTCCCTTGGAGAAAAATGAATAAATTGCATTGCTAACCCTCTCAAATCATGGGAGAGGTTTGACCAAGGAGAAACAATGTGAAATACCCAGCTAAAAATATCCCTTTATTGCAAAACTTGTTTATTCACTATATCTCTTTGCTGCTCTCACTGCCTTTTTTCTTTACTTGCAGTTTCTAGGATGGAGAAAATAGCATATCCAGCTGGGGCAAAACTTTACAAACATCAAAAGAATTTATAGCAACAGAACACAACCACAAAGAGCAACTTGCATCTGTACAGTAGCCTGGTTTTGAGAATTTCTCTAGTCCTGATAAAATATTTAACTCACATCTGCCCTAACAGAGATAGAGCAACTAAAGTACTACAACATGTGTGAAAAGCAAGACTTAGTAACACAGTATAAATTCATAACAAGAAAATAACATGGCAATTATAGATATGTTCTTTCTATACAAACTCTCACACAGCCACACTTAAGCAACACTTGGTTGCTAGCTAGTGTTCCCCCCAAAAAACTGTAAATACTACCAAAAAATGGCTCATGTCTGTAGTTCTCCAGGGAGAGAAGACCAGATGATGGACAGAGATTGCTGAGGTATGTTAAACAAATGAGCATAATAATAAAGTCTGCAAGGCTACTACCTATGGAACCAGCTATATCCACTATCAATAATCTGTACTGTGTGGGAGGGAGAAGTATGCTAGTCATAATTTACATTTTGGAAACTTTTCCTGACTCAACCATTAAAAAGAATTAAGGCACCAGACAAAAAAGTACTGCTTTGAAAGAATATCCAGTGGCTGCACTTGCTGGTGACTCCTCCCTTCTTTCAATTATTGAACTAAAGGAAAAGCTGCTGCTGCTTAATAGGATTTTTCAATTCTTCTTCAAGAAAATATTAGGAAACACCAGTTAATTTTGTAACAGTGGAGAAAAGATAATACTGAAACAAATACAGCAATTGGAAAAGAAGCATGCCTTCCAAAGGTCAAACTTTAAAGTGTCTGCCTGACCTGGGAGGGCTTAAAGACACATGTGCACAGTGCTGGATCACCACCACTGCATGAACAATCCCACCTACACCAGAAAAAATGTAGAAAAAAAAGCAATTTAGTCACAGACAACATGACTATGACTACAAAAGTATAGCCTGCAATGTGGGAATTTCACCAAGGAGTTCTTGGTTCTGCACAAAAGAAAGTAGTAAGTTTTTGCACAAAAGCTGTACACTGAGTCCTTATATACACCAACACTGCAAACAGGACCTGAGACAAAATCCAGTCCACTTAGAAAAGCTATTCATCCTTTTGCTTTAGCATACCTTAGAGATACGGCCCATGACAAGAAAGATTTATTAGTTTTTTTAAGACCACTGGAAGAGCCCTGTCGCCCCGCCAGCTGACCTGCACAGGCTGCTTTCCTTCAGCAGAGCTGAAACCAGGCTCAGCTAAAAGGCACCAGAAAGCAGAACTGGCTCTGAGCTTCCAAAATTCACACCAGACCTCACCACTTAGGGCAAATCTTTGCTCAGTGCCTCCCTCCCTCCTTCCACCAAGTCCTCCTTGGCAGTAAATTCCTCACTCAGGGTGTGCAAGCCACATTAACAATTCCTCAGGCAGAAAAGTGTTTTCCATGCACAGGGATGAATTAACACCTTTCTCACAGAAACACTGGCACTGTAACATTCCTGGCCACGCTGCCCTTGGAGGCTCAGGGAGGGCCAGGAGTAGGGTGAGGTATTGCCTAAGGAATCAATAATGTTTCTCTGCCGTGGGGGTTTCTTTGATCAGCACTTTAAGGATGTATGTTTAGTAACAGAACAATTTCAAGCTGCAAGAGGATGCAGTCTGGGAAGGCAGCTTCTCTCTTATGGGCCCTCTTGAAACATGGTGCTGGAGATGTCCTGGAGCTCAAGGAATCAGCTCACTGCAGCAGGAACAGCCCAAAGCCTTGCAGAGCCAACACAGCATCTCCCCTCCCAGCCTGCCTGCCTACAACTGAGGTGGAACAGCCTCATCAGAAAAACCAGGAGCACCTGACCCCAGGCTGACCTGAAGCACAGTGATGGGAACACGTTTCCAGAGATGAGAGAGGGGCTCAAATTCCCTCAGGTCTTGGACCTACATCTCCCACATCTGCCCTCTCTTTGTGTCCACCAACATCCTCTTCTCTTTCTCTTTGTTTTCTGAAACAAAAACCTTTTCTTTTGGGCTGAAATGAGGGGGGAAAAAAAAGCCCTAAAAACCTTCAGAGGTGCTCTCTGCCATATCACTGGAAGGCATTGTACTTGTATTCACTAGCTGTAAATGCTCTGCAGATTCATCCTCTTTAATTTCTCTGTCTTTTAAGTGCACAGTATCCACCAGGTTCAAAAGAACAGACATTTCTGGAGCGTGACTGAGAACAAAAC